TCATTCAAAGTTTACTAATGGGTTTACCGTTAGAAATGGCGCATGTGCCAACGCCTGTGGCAAGGTGGAAAGCGTTCGCTCGGCGGTCACTTGAGTGACGGTCATAGATTTTTACTGCAGTTACGCATGTAAAACGACGCCGACAAAAATCAACTTAACAACGATCAAGTGTTATATACCTGGATATCAAATTTTTATAGTAAGGGAATAAAAAAGTCAGCGATGATCACTCAGCCGGTATAAGGGACATAATTGTGTTGGGAAATTGATTAAATAAGTTCTGGCCTTCTGTAAAAATTACGTATTGAATAAGTTATATAAGCTGAACAGGTTGTAATTTAACAGAAGAGAAAAAACCAGTTACTGCATTTGGTATTGACGCGCGTCTGGCGGCAAGAAGGACAGTACATTGATATCACTGTTAGTGCTGACAGTTGCAGTAAACGTCTTAAGCAATACTAAGCAAAGGCAAAAAATAACACCAATCGCAACGACTATTTGAGCCCGAAACATTTTCGGCCACTAAAAATGTTTAAATGACTATTTTTTGGCATGCGATCCAGATAATACTGAAAGCACTATAAGTGGGCTAAGGAGACTGATTCTGGGCTGTTACTCCACGCGCACCAAACGCATAAGAGGGAAACGGGGCTATAGCTTTAGCAGCAGCGCTCAACTGTGATGGTTTTAGGATCAAGTGTTTGAAGCAGAAATGAGCTCAACGGAGAGCCTACAGCTTAGCGCATCCTTTAAGGTGATGTGGCAGCGCACGTCATGGCTTCATCAAGGGCGTTCCCAGCCCTTGTAGCGCTCGCCTTCTGGGTCCGTCAGTGCCTTTGTTACTCACTAGTGGTTCGAGTCTTTTTTCTTTTAAATTATACCTATTTCTGCACCCTTTGACTCGCATACAGGCACACATATTCGCACAGCTTCTATGTCATTCAACTTCGTTCGCTGCATTTCGAAAACGCATGCATTCATAGGAGTGAAGGATTCGTGGCTCGAATCCTCTTCAATCTTCTCAGCATTGTCTTCAGGTCACTTGTCGCCTCGGCAATATCTCAGCGTTCTGTGTTGAATATCTAACAGTCCTTATCTTCTAACAGGCACATTTTACATGTCATTAGTGAAGGCCAAGCTGTATCGTGTAGAAAAGGAAATCATGCGTAAGTTTATTCCGCACCTTTTACATCTGATAGCGAATAAGTATCGGGTATACGTGCACGCAGATTGTTGACTTTTGGCACATACGTGCACCACGAATCACAGAACATGTGATAGTGACGAGGGAAATGTAGTTAGATGATTCGACTCGTTTTCGATTGTGCCGTCGGCCTTACCTGCGCCATCGGCCTTACCTGCGCCATCGGCCTTACCTGCGCCATCGGCTTTGTACTTGCTGAACAGTTATTTTGAAAAGAAGAGTTCTATTTCTTGGCAGAGCATATAATCGAGTTGTTTCGCACTGTTTCCCCGCTGTTACTAACTCCCAGAACGTTATTTCTATAGCTCCACAGAGAGAGAATAAACAGAGTTGGACCCTTAATAGTAGTGGATGCACCACGTGTTGCTACAGATGTTTGACGCCAGAATAGTGCCAAGCTAAAACAGAAAATTAACGTTAGCTAAGTGTTCGATATTCACAAGAAGGACGAAGACTGCTTCAAAGCAACCCTGTTCTAAAAATCGTGTCGAAAGCCACATAGATGGCTTCAGAGCAAGCGTCATGGAACAATTTCGAACAACAATTGGAAATTATTTCAGTAATAAAGTTTTGAGTTATGTCATATAATAAGCATATGATTTTCTGCCCATCTTCTTGAGCTGTAAATACCGAATGTTCTTCACACGTGTTTTCTCTCTAATAATTTCACCGGTATGACAGGCACTAAATAAATTCAATTTAAAGATATACGATAGCGATCTTAGCAGATTAAATCTTACTCGCGAAAGGACGCCATGGACGTATCATCAATCAACCGTTCGTTCTGCAGATAAATTAATGATTGACGGAAGTGATGGTTTCGAACGTGGCCTACCTATATAGAATTGATGGAACGGTATTTGACGTAGACAAGGAAATTCAATATATGTTTACTTTGGAAAATCATAATTTTTCTTGTAGGCAGACTATACGACTTCACAGATACTATAACCAAATGTTAGAGTATGTGCGATGAAGGGACGAGGAACGGACAAAGACATTTACAAAGATAGTATAGTTAGTCAATGGTTTAATTTTGAAGTGTACATACAAAAATCGAAATTATTCATCTGAGCTTGATTGCGTTTGTATATACATCCACTGAAACGATCATAGGTCCACAAACCATTGTCTTTTCCCTAAACGATTTTACCAGCTCATTCAAAGCCATCCCGTATTTTAAGAGTTCGAAGGGGACAAGCGTTGTAGCAGCCCATAATGGATACGCTGTAATAGAAATCTGACGTTTTGTAACAGACAGGTGTTGACTGCCTGGAGAGACGTGCCAGTTGAGGCCGACTTCGGAACTATCCGGAAGTGAGGACATAGAGGTGTCAAAGAGAAGCATTCACGTCGTCGGTGCCCCATATGCTGCTCGTGCCCCGTCTCAAACGCACAAAAACCACAACGGCGAGAAGGAAATAGCTGAAAAGATGGCAGGAGCGCCAGGCAGCTGCCAACACTGAAACTGCTGCTGTAGTTGTGGGCGGGAGGGTTGCGCAGCGCACCCAGAGTTGAATCTATGCAGCAACATGAAGATGCAGGGGGGCAGGATCCATGCAAGCAAGCATTGATCGTCGCTTAGGGTGGGCGACTGGTGGGCCGGCTGCAGTCCTTTGACGGGAGGGTCTCCTTCTGTAATACATAGGGTCAGAACAGCAAAGGCAGCAGCAACGGATAGGACCGTTGAGGGAGCGCCAGGCGTAGTTTAGCGATGCCGGTAGCGCCTGCTGATGGGCTGTGATGCATTGTAATAAATATGAACAGACCGGATGTTGTAGCAGAACGATAGCAGAAAAGAAAAAGAAGAGATAGAAATACAAGGCACAACAAGACAACAACAGTACGCAAAGGACTGGTAGCTACGTTGTAGTAACCACGTCGTCCTCCTTTCACCCCGTTTCTTCCGCAAAGTCAGCCCATCATTTCGCTCGTAGCCGTCTGCTGCTGCTTCCGCCGTCGCCGCAGCCGGTATACTGCCATCTGAGCAAAAAAAGGACTGAATGAGTGACTGAGCCGACTCGGCCGACTTGACTCAAGAGCGCTGGACGGAAGTGGTCGCGGCCGTTCAAGCGGCGTTCTACAGACAGATAGAGAGACAACAGCGAAAGATTCAGCACGCAGAGAACGTAGCAGCTATGTTACAACGGCGGTTGCCGTCGTCGACGGCACGTTTGCAGGAGGGCGTACGTGTACAGGACAACGTTACAATCAGGTCCTGTGTGATTCTGCACGAAAGCTTGCATCTGTAAGAAAGGGGACGCGACAGGAAAGTGATGATCTTTAAGCAATGCACAGGACAAGCTGGGGCAGAAGTCTAGGATGGGTTTTACGCCCGGTTGCACATTCCTGGCCTCGTTTTGTTTCCCCTTTATACTTACGGGTCACCCATTCCGCTCCAAACCTATGCCCCTTTTACCCGTTGCCCGGCCGACATGGGAGGCCACAGCCGTATTTGTGGGGAGTTTCCCGCGGCGTTGCCGTTGTCCTGCTTGTGATGGTGGGTCGTGCTAACTTCCGCTATGGCGGGAACCGCCACCGCTTCTCCGTGAGTAGGACGAAAGGGGGCAGGCTCCAGCAAGGCGATTCTTAAGAAAATGATGGGAAGATTTTTGCGGGAAGAAATAGAACTGTAAAGGTCTTGTGAGGGGCAATAGTAAAAGAGAGCCGTGCTCGGACAAGCATATGTACCTATAAACAAATGTCTTCTGCTACACGCTCTTCTACAACAACACAATACGGTGGCGCGGAACGAAACGGGTTATGTGAGCTTGTGCTTCGCTCTAGACAAGGGCAGTGACTCTCGTTCTACTTTGTGGGGTATTGCTTTTTTTTCCCTCTTTCTCTCACTCTCTAGCAGCTGTGCCTGTTGTCATTCACTTACAAACTCTAGTGCGGCCTTAATGCTGTCTAAGGTTCCTGTATATCTCCTGTGCGTCTTTTATGGTTACCGCAAACGTTTTTAGTCTATCACATGTCTGTCGACGAAGACAGATTGATGCCGTCCTTCTGATCAGATATACTGAGTTTCTATGGCAAATAACAGGTGCTTCAAATGTGCATGTAAATGAGGGTTTTAGTTAAAATAACATAT